AAATCATCCTCTGCATATACTGTACATGTACGTATACTGCATTGGTCATTCTGAACTATTTTTAGTTCCTCCAATATTGTCATTATGTGCATACCTATTTGTATATGTTTTTTCCTCTATTAGAATGTTCTTTCTCCATTTGTTTTACCTGAAAAATGCTTGCTCATCCTTAAAGATCCATTTCAAGCATATTTTTGTGAAACCTGACAACACTCAACCATCTCTATTGAATAAAAGTTGATACCACTATAATTGTTGCATATCTCTATTATACCACTTATGACAGTGTACTATAGTCATTTATATTACTTCTCTCTTTCCTAGTAAACTATTAGGTTTTTTTTTTCAGCTTTTATACATCTAGTGTGATGTGTAGAACATAGTGTATACTCATTAGATGTTTTAATGCTGTGAAATGAAAGATTGCTTATTATATATAGGAAATATTTTTGGTATCTCTTATATTTAAAATATCTATTAGGGAATATTTTACATTTTATTTATGTTTATCTTTTTGAAGTATACAATTCAGAGATTTTTTAAATAAATGTATCTAATTGTACAACCATCATAAATCAATTTTAGAGTATTTTAAACCCCCCCAACAAGGTGCCTCGTAGACATTTAATGTTAGTCTGTGTCCTCCCATCCCACAGTCCTAAAAATTAACTAATCTGCCTTTTGCCTCTATAGATTTGATTCATGTGAATGTTTTATGTAAATGGAATTGCATATTATGTCATCTGTTGTAACTTGTTTTCATTGATCAGAATGCTTTTCAGCTTCATGAATGCATCATAGTTTTGAGGTCGTAGAATGCATCATTGTTCATCTCTTTATATTGCCAAGTAGGTATTCTTTTGTATGGGTAGATTTTTGTTGTTGTTGTTGTACAGAGGATTGAACTTGGGACCCTGCACTTGCAAGGCAGGCAGCAGAACCACTGAGCTAAATTCCTAGCCCAACTATATTTTGTTTATACATCTGTCAGTTGATAGACATTAAACAGTTTCTATCTTCTTGTAATTTGATTAATGCTGCTGCTGAGACATGTATGCAAAAATCCTTGTGTAGAAATGTTTTCATTTTTCTTTTTCTTTTTCTCTCTTTTTTCTTTTTTGACAAGGTCTCGCTATATAGTTCTCGCTGTCCTTGAACTCAGTATGTAGCCCAGGTTGACCTTGAACTTGCAGCAATTCTCCTGCCTCAGCCTCCCAAGTGCTAGAATTACAGGCATGTACCACCATGCCCGTCATTTTTCTTGGTTAAATATATAAAGGTAGATTATTGAATCATGACAAATTATGTTTGACATTCCAAGAAACTAGGCTATATATCCTCCAGTGATGTACAGGTTTCCTGTTTTTTTTTTTCCACAACCTTAACATTTTTCATTGTATACTGTTTTCACTTAGCCATTTTGATGAATGTGTGATTTGATATGTCTTTGTGATTTCAATTTGTACTTCTTCAATAAATAATGCTTTTGAACATACTTCATATAGTTTTAGATTTTTTTGTTTTGTTTTGTTTTTTGGTACCAGGGGTAGAACTTGGATCCTTGCGCTTGCAAGGCAGGTGGTGGAACCGCTGAGCTAAATCCCCGGCCCTTAGCTTTTATTTTTGAAATATAATTTTGCTGGATGTGAAATCACTGGTTGATTGTGTTTTTCTTCAACATTTTGAATATGTAAGCTTACAGTCTTCTGCCCTCCATGGTTTCTGGTGAGAAGTTCATTGTTGATCTTATTGACAATCTTTTTTACTAAGTTGCCTTTTCTTTTGTTGATTTCAAAATGCTGTGTCTTTGAGTTATGTCAGCTTGATTATGGTGTGTCGAAGTATTAATGTCTTTAAATTTATTCTACTTGGAGTTCATTGAGTCTCTTGGTTGAGATTTCTTGATTCATATTTCATGAAATTTGAGGAGCTTTTAGACATCATTTTTTCAAATATCATTTCTTCCCTATCTTCTTTCCTTCTATGGCTTCTCTTATGCATATATCATTATGTTTAATGGTTCCTACAAGGCTCTAAGGTCCTATTTATTTTTCTTCATTATTTTTACAAAAAGCATACCTCTGAATAATCTCTCCTGACTAATTTTCAAGAATGCTGACTCTTCCTTTTGCCAGCTCAAATAAGTAAATCTTTCATTTTAGTTATTATACTTTTCAACTCCAGAATTTTTACTTGATACTTTTTTGCATTTTCTTTTTTACTGATATTTTCTATTTGATAGGATATAGTTATTACTTTTAATTAATAAATTTTATTTCTCATTTTTGGTGTGGTACTAGGGATTGAACTTGGGGTCTTTATACAGAGCTATATCCCCAGCCAACCTGCTTGCTTGCCTGCCTGCCTACCTGTCTGTCTGTCTGTCTTTCATTTTTCTTTTTTGGTATCAGGAATCAAACTCAGAGCCTCACACTTGTGAGGTGTTGTCAGTCTTCTTCTCTTCTCTTCTCTTTTCTCTTCTCATCTCTTCTTCCCTCCCCTCCCCTCCCCTCTCTCCTCTCCTCTTCCCCTTCCTCTCTCTCCTCTCTCCTACTCCCTCCATCCCTCCCATCCCCACTCCTTAAATTTTGAGATAGTCTTACTAAGTCACTATGTTGCGCAGGCTGGTCTCAAACTTGCTGGCCTCCCAGGCATGCACTACCATACCCAGGTAAGACTTTATTCCTTAGAGCAATTTGGAGTTTATAAAATACTTGAACAAAAAATACAGAGTATCCATATTAACTTCTTGCATTTAACAATTGATGAACCAGTGTCAGTACATTAATATTGACTGTAGCCCATAATTTACATTAGGGTTCATTCTTTCACTGTATACTTGTATGGGATTTTTCAAGTTTATACTGTCATGTGTCTCCCTTTAAAGTATCATATAGAATAGTATCCCTGCCTTAAATAGCTCCTGTGTTATACCTGTTAATCCTTCCCTCAAACCCCTGGAAGCAACTGATCTTAATATCTCTATAATTTTATTTTTCTAAAATGTTATATAATTTGATTTATATTTAGCCTTTTCAGACTTCTTTCACTTAGCAATATGCATTTAAGGTTCATCCATATCTTTTCTCTGTGTGGTTTAATAGCGCATTTCTTTCTTTGGGTGTATGTGTGTGTGTGTATATACGTGCATGTACATGCACATGTGCACAGGCACTCATGTGATTGGTGCTAGGGATTGAACTCAGGGTATATACCGGTGAGCACTCTACCAGAGCAACATCCCCCAGCTTTTTTATTTTGAGATAGTTTCTCACTGAATTTCCCAGGATAGCCTGCTTCAGCCTCCCTAGTAGGTAGGATTATGGGTCTGCATTCCATTATTTGTGGATGTACAACACTATTTGTCCATCCACCTAGTGAAGGACACCTTGGTTGCTTCCAATTTGGACAATTAATGAATAAAGCTTCTATAAATAGCCATTTGCACGTTTTTGTCTGGTTGTAAGTTTTCGACTCATTTGGGTACATAACTAGGAGCAAAATTACTGGATCATATGGTAAGACAATGTTTAACCTTATGAGAAACTGCCAAACCATCTTCCAGAATATTTGTACCATTTTGCATTCCCAGCAGAAATGAGTATGAGTTTTTACTTCTCATCCTCAAGGAAATTTGATGTTGTCAATGCTATTTATTTTAACTATTGTAACATAGTTTCTTTATATCTTTGAATATATTTATAGTAGCTGCTTAATATTTGTTATTTATTAATTCCAACTATTTCCCTAGGGGACATTTTCTGTTGGTTGCTTTTTCTTATAAATTTCTTGCTATTTTTTTAAGCCTGCCTTCCTGGGATCACCTTCTTCTAAATCACCTTCTTCTAAGTCAGTATAATTTAGTGATCTAAAGTCCCTTACACCAGTAAGTCTTCTCCCTTTTTTCAAAGGAGATCTTTGTGTGAAGCTATGACTCAAATTTCAGGCACTTTACAAATCAGCCTTACCTTCCATTTCCTGCTTTCAGATACAGTGAGAATGGAGAAACTGAGGTCTCCTGTTCTATTTCTTTCCTTGGACTACTCACAATGCTGTACATATCTGCATACTTCTGGATACACAAGAGTATCTTGGAACCTTTTAAAGTTTCATGTGGTCATTTGGTTCTTCATGTCTTTCTTTTCAATTTGTATCCAGGCCTTTGTTTGCCCTGATTGAAATCACAACCTTAGGCAGCTGTGATCTTACAAGCAGATTGCTATTGTTTTCTGTAGTGCCCTAAGAACAGGGCTTTTTTCATTAAGCTGAACTGTAAATATAATCAAATTATAACACCTTGGGAGTAGACATTGTCCAGGAAGCTGCTAATTTGCTACAAATATTGTCTGTGTTCTGTTGGATGGGGGTTTTTTAATGAAACTTCGTAAGATCCTCAGGCTGTCATGCTGCTTGCTTTCATGGCTGCCACACTTTTGAGTTTGTGAGGAAGAGAGAATAGGAATAGCCTCAAGTTAAAACCTGAAAGAGGGCGGGGGATTTAGCTCAGTGAGCCGCCTGCCTCGCAAGTGCAAGGACCTGAGTTCTATCCCTGGTACAAAAAAAAATTCTAAAACCTGAAAGAATGATGTTCTTACTGAGGTTCATTAGTTTTTCTCTTTTTTTAAATGCAGCGCTAGGGATCAAACCCAAGGACTCCCACATGCTAGAACGGGCTCTACCACTGAGCCCCTTCCCCTTCATTAGTTTCTCTTGAATAGTTACTTTTCAGTCCATTCTGTGCCTTTGGTTAATTTCTGATGTTCTGAAATTATTTAAATGGTTTTGCAGTATTTTGTTCCTTTCACTGAGGAGTAGGCTCACTTAAATTCTATTCCAGAAGTCAGTTTGACAGGAAAATAAGGTCTTTTGAAGACATTGCCTTAATGTTTAATATGTATACAGATTGTCACTTATAAATGCCAGATAAAATATTAACATTTTTTCTTATAGAAACTTTCAAGCATGCCTTTGGGACAGTTACATTCTGACTTTCTTTTCAGGTTGCTATTACTTCTGATTCTACAGGTCCATCTGAAAATTTTGAGGTACAATCTTTGACATGTCAAAAAGAATGCAGCAAAACTGTGAGCACAGAAGCCTTAATGACAGTATTTCACCCTCAAAATTTGGAGACTCTTAATTCTAAAATGGTAGGAAAATAAAATACTTATACCTATAGACTGGAACAGTTGATTAAAAAGAATCTTGTTGCAGAGTAAAAGGTACCAGAACTAAAAACTCTTTTCTTTGAGGTATGAAAAGGTTTTTCAGAAAGTACTGTACTACCATGTGCCTTGTTTGTTTCCATAATACACAAGGGCTGTTATCAAGAATGAAAATAAAAGATGAAAGTTGATGTTGGGTTTAATTTGTATAGATTTCTAATAATCTATGCAGAAATGTAGCTGATTTGGGAAAAATAAGAGTAAAAGCTTTGCCTATTAAGTATAATACTTTGCCATTTTTATATGACTTTAAGATTCAAGATAGTAAATTAGAGCTGCTAGACTCGCATAATTTAAAAGATTTTGAGGAAGACAAAAGTGCAGTATTGATTTCTGTGTTAAAACTGATTTTTATTTTCTAGGTTCTTGTTTTCCATAGATGTTGTTTCATAGCAAACAAGGTGGGCAAACTGTTTTAAAGATGTTAATTTCTTACTGTGTTTAGTTGATTTGATTTTTCTCTTACAGTTGAAAGAAAAGATGAAGGAACAGTCATGGAACATTCTGTTTTCAGAGTGTGGGCGTGGTGTTACCATGTTTCGGACCAAAAAGACTCGAGACCTGGTTGTGAGAGGGATTCCAGAGACCTTAAGAGGAGAGCTCTGGATGCTTTTTTCAGGTACAGATAGTCCTCATTTAACAACCTCCCTGTTTAATGACTGAATTTATGGCCAAGGCATGCTATTCTTTGGACTTACAACCTATCCCCTTTTTTGGGTACAATTTGTACATCTTGTTTATAGACCCTCAGTGTCTCTTTTTGTATAGAACACCTTGTTTATACAGTTCTGTAATTTTTGCTGATTGTACTGTACACTACTGTAGTGTTATGTTCTGATATATATTACAGATTTGCATGTAACAGTTATGCAAGTAAAAGCAAAGTCAACAAGTTGGAGTTTCCTTTGACCATTTATTCTTCTGAACGTTGTAATGTACATACTATATACAATTCCTCATTTAGTGACCCATTCATTTAAGGACCTAGGAATGTAACTTGGTGATTTAATGAGGAATGTCTGTTTTAAATTTATTCACTTTATTCATTTAGCAAATATTAATTATGCCTCTTATAAGAATTATATACAGAAGGGGTGAAGGGAGGACAGGGGAATGGGGAAAAAATAAAAACCAAGATACATCATGTAAAGGTACAAGATCCCAATGATGAATGTAACTGTATTGTATACCTATACCTAAAATGTCCCTATAAACTTTATGAAAAGTAAATAAATGAATTATATACTAAGCTAAAGTTAAAGAATTACAAAGATGGCAGAAAAAAGTCTTGCTCACCATGAGTTAGACTAGTCAAAGAGAACAAGGTATGTAGTTATGTGTACTTACTTATATATGATTACTTTACTACGCAAATTATGTCTAATTGGGGAAAATCTCTCTGGTGTCAAAGGAGAGAGTTAAAGGGAAAAATATCAAAATGTTGTTCTTTTACATAATTTTTTTTTCCAGTACCAGGAAATGAAATCAGAACCTTGGGCTTGCCAGGCCAGTGTAGCCCACAGAGCTAAACCCCAGCCTGTTGTTACATAATATTCGCTTGACATTAAATAGATGCTAGTGTAAACATGTTTCTTTTCTTTAATTTCTTTTATTTTTGTGCTCAGATATTATTTGAGCACAAAGCTAAATTTCAAGGTGATGAAATCCAATTGTTCATATATATGAAAATATGCTACTGTGTGCAAATCATAGTTTTATTATACTTCTCTCTTTGTATGTGAATGCAAACATCTCCACAGGTGCTGTTAATGACATGGCTACTAATCCTGGTTATTATGCTGAAATGGTTGAAAAGTCCTTAGGGACCTGCAACTTGGCTACTGAAGAAATTGAACGTGATTTGCGTCGCTCCCTCCCTGAGCACCCTGCATTTCAGAGTGACACTGGCATATCTGCTCTGAGGCGGGTACTCACTGCTTATGCATATAGAAATCCCAAAATTGGATACTGCCAGGTATGACTTTGCTATAAGCCTGTGTGCATGGTTCAAATAATAAAAGCACATCAAATCTAGCTCTACTAATTTTGAAATTATAAGGGCAGGGGTTGGGGTAAGGATGATAATAATTATTATTAATGTAAGTAGGATGGCAGTAGGCATACATAGAATTGAAATGTCAATGAATTTTCTTTTTCATTTAACGTGTGTGTGTGTGTGTGTGTGTGTGTGTGTATAAATTTTTTTTAATTCCTGTTCTGGAAAAGATGATTTTTTTGGACATACAGAGATGAAATAAAAGAACATTCTAAGTGAAATAATCAGTATGATCCAGCACAGATAGAAGTACATGGGGAATGTGTATAGAACCATGTTCTGTACAGTACAGTGCAAGGTGAGTAAAGCAAAGTAGTCGGAGAAAACAATAAGATAGATTGAGGTAGGTTGGGAGTTTAGATTTTATTTTGTTGGCAGTGGAGGAATCATTGGTGAAAAAAATCCTCTAGGCGTATAATGTGTGATTAAGTAGGCTAGACTGCTAACACAAACACAAAGAGAAAGTAACTGAAACAAAATAAAGAAAGTGATTATTTTGGTGAGTAGACTGTTCTCTATGAGATTCTTCAGGATTTAGGCTATGGGCTGAGAGTAGACTCTGTCATATTCAAAGTAAGGCTTCCAAGGTACTTTTTCATTGCATTACTAAATACAGGGAGAGGTAGAGAGAATGAATAAAAAATTGTTGATGATTTTACAGGCTAGACCTGGAAGGGGCATGCATCACTTTACCCAAATTCTATTGGAAGGTCTTCATCACATGGGCACACCTCTTCACAAGGAAGTTTACAAAATGTACTATGAACTGAGCAGAGTTGTACCCAGCTACTGTGAAAGAAGGGGAAATTGGATTATGGTGGATAGGTAGCACTCTCTGCCACACATTCTTTTCTAATAGTCTAGGCACCCATTAAGGATTACATATCTACACTCCCTATCAATTGAAACTTATCAATAGAGATTTTTTTCCTGTGGTGCTGGGGATCAAACCTAGGGCTTCATGAATGCTAGGCAAGCATTGTCCCACTCTGCTATATCCCCAGCCCTAGAGAATTTGGGGGAAAAACAGTTTAAGTGAATGAACCATCTGAATGATTTTAGCCTCTCTTAAATGAAGACACACTACATTTCCCCCAAAATTTTACTCTCAGCGGGGGTTGTAAATCAGTGGCAGATCACTTGCCTAGCATGCACGATATCCTCAGTTGAATCCCCAGAACCAGGGGGGGAAAAAACCCTTAATTTATACTCTCAGAGCCTGTGATATTAGTTTAAAGATAATTTCAAAGTAGCTATCACATGATTTTGACTTCTAAAACCTGAGAACAAATTTATAAATATGGAGAACAGGAAGAAACTTATTCTGGGTTAAGGTAACAAATAAGTAATACCATTCAGATGAAAATAAGCCTGCCATGACAGGCGTGGTGGCATATGCCTGTAATCCCAGCACTCAGGAGGCTGAGGCAGGAGGATCGCTGTGAGTTTGAGACCAGCCTGGGCTACATAGTGAGTTCCAGGTCAGTCTCAACTACAGAGGGAGACCCTGT